GTTTTCTTTCCATTAAGAGGAAGGGTGGCTGCAACAAAAATGTACTGCTTACTGCGTGCATAAGGTTTTCTTACTCTCCTCCAGTCTTTTTTCTTGGCAGACCCAGCCTTAGTTCCTTCCATCAAGTCCTCAGTGTCAACATCATCCTCCAAACCTTCCTCCCCTTCCAAGACAAATTCATTTTGGATGTCTTCATTATCCTCCGAATCAAAGTGTGACAAAGCTTCAGGATTCATTTCCACAGGGTTATCAGGTCCAGATTCATTCATTCGAGACGACGACTTTTCATCAAAACGGAGCATGTTTATTAGACGAATAACTTGATTTTGGAAGCTTCCACAGAGAAGCATATCTGCTTCATCAAACACCTGCAAATTATTTCAAATGACAAATTAGCTAGTGAATTTTCAAATAATACCATGTGGATGTGGAGAAAGAAAACATACCACATACTTTACACCACGAATAAAATCCAGACGCTGGTGTTTTCTGGGATCTATGTTGTTCAGCAAAGCAGCTGGAGTTGATACAATAATGTGTGGTTCTTTAGATGGCCATCCCTGTGATCAAAGTTTCATATCAAAGACAATCACAATTTAACAATATGACAAGAAACAATACAAAACATAGAGATTGTATGTAAAAACTTGAATAATACCCCTCCTTTAACACAAAAGAAGTCAGGAACATTACTCATGCCAAACAAATGATTTTTTTTTTCTTGACAAAAGTTAGTTTATTAAGAGAAGAATGTACAAGGTCAGCTCAACAAACATTAACAACACAATAGAGTATATCACCAATGAATATGTTCTAGAAAATGGGAAGAAATAGATATCTGTACCTGTCGACCACAGGCAGCTGCAACTCTAACAAGTGGCTCACCATTCTCACCATAAAGACCATTAGCCATTCGAACCACTTGTTCACATAGCAATACATTTGGGCAAAGAACAAGTCCAAGCCTGTGCGGAGAACCCCTTGCTTGCTCAGGTAGACTAATACTAGGCTCATCTGAAGCATCACATAGCTTATTAATCAAAGGAACTAGATAGCTATGTGTTTTACCACTACCAGTCTCTGCTGCGACCACCACATCCTTTCCTGATAGTATAGTTGGTATGCAAGCAGCCTAAAATGAACATAAGAAAATATCAATAACCATTAAAAAGAACCCAGTAATGCTAAGTGCCACGACAAAAAATCAGATTACCCACCTGAACCAGGGACGGTCTCTCGAAACCCGCTGCAGAGAGAGCTTGAGAGACCCGATCAGATAAACCCAGAGACCCCCACGATGTACCCTCGTCCGCAAAGAAGGTCTCGCCTCCCTTTTTATCAGGCAAAACGGTAGCTGCTGCAGCACTGGTACTGAACCTCCTGGTTACCCTTTCGCTTGACTGATTGATCCAGATCACAGGGACTCGAAGAGACGGTGAAGAACTAGAGAAAAATGAGTAGGAATGCTTGAATTGAGAGAGAAGCTTGGATGTGGATGGTATTCTGTATAAATGGAGTACCGAAGCAGAGCGATAAAGAATCATTGATGGTCGCCGGTCACCGGTAGCCGGATTGAAGAGTTGCAGAGGAAGACGACGGATACAGGGTTTAGGGTTTAAGCAAATGCAAAAGCTTGCGCTATCTACTAACTTAAGAAGAAGGACTACACGTCGTCGTTTTCATTTGGGTTTTACGTGGCGCCAATGTGACACGTGTTCCGGGTAACCTCCACCACCGCGGGTGCCCTAAATCGGGTCCGATGCTTCCCGCTCGCCGTCAAGTTTCAGTCTTTCCGTTAACGGAAAAACATCTCCTCTCGCGTGTTACAGAAGCAGGGTGAAACTCCGCCGTGAAGGAGAGAAAAATGGCGCCAAAACGAAGTAAGAACAAGGCTCCGCCGTCCGATCCCGATGGAATGTTCGCCGGAATGGTAGTTTTCTTCGTGGAAACCGGCGTTCAGGCTCGCCGTTTACAGGTTTCTCCATTCCCTCTATCCCGTATGTTATTATGTTTTATTTCGTTTCTGTGCTTCATGTTTTTGCCTTTTTGGTGAATTGAAGATTTGGAAGCAGAGGCTGCAGCAGATGGGAGGCTCTCTGGAGAACGACTTTTCTAAAAAAGTAACTCATGTTTTTGCTGAGAGTTCAGAGGCTCTTCTTCAGAAAGTCAGCAGGGAGCGTTTGATTCGCTTCAAAGGAGTAAGTTCATTTTTTATAACATGGCTTCTCACTTATTTTGCCCCGTCCACTTTCCTGATTATAAGTTTTAAATTTCATTAGTTTAAGAATTGGAGGAAAATTGTGTAGAAATTCTCATATCATTCTTGCAAATTTTGACTAGTTTTGTGTGGAGAACTCTTTAATCAATAATTGTTCCACTTCAATTGTATTTTCTTAGTTCAGATATTGCATAACTAATTGCAGCCTTGTAGAGTTCTTGAGGATTTATTGATGCTTTTTTTTTTTTTTTTAAGTCTATTGAAATCTTCAGTTTTTAGTGATGCCTTGAAATCTTCACTTATTTTGCCCCGTCCACTTTCCTGATAGTAAGTTTTAAATTTCATTAGTTTAAGAATTGAGTATCTTCTTGAGTACTGGTGTTCGTTTGGAAATTTATTTCTGAAGTGCGTATTGGAGAGGGTTTTATGATTCTTCATGGTTTGTATCAACTACTTGTTGTTGCAGCATGTTCTCCTTTATCGTTGGTTGGAGGATAGCTTGGCATCTGGGCAAAAAGTTTCTGAGGATTTATATGCTCTAAAAAAGGAGCCTGAAGGGGAAAATGTAGCAGGGGAAATTTTGAAACCTAAACCAGATCATAGAAATATTTCTAGTTATGATGAACAACCACATTGCAAAAGAATAAAATCCTTGCCCGAGGATGTTGAAGTCCATGACAAAGAAAGAAGGGGAGACATAGATAATGGTTCTCCATACCAGGTATCAACTATTGAAGGAGTTCCAAGTAGCTTTCCCCACACTATGAGCTCTATAACTAGCAGTCCTGAAATCCCCAGTACTCCAGATAAGGATGTAAGATGTAGTATTCCAACATGCATGTTTTATTGTGTGGATTTCTGTTTTCTTTTTCTGCGATTTAATTTTGTCTGCTATACTTGAGGTTTATTTGTATTTAAACTACATGGTACCTTTAACAAATTGCATTTTAAGGTATATGCTTTCAAGACTTCATTCAGCTAATGCTTATTCCATGCATTGACTAGGTTAACTTGTCAGATTCATCCTTGTCATACCATCCACCAGATTTAAACAAGAACATCACACAAATATTCAGCAAACTTATTGACATATACAGAGGTGAGGCACAGTTTATCCTTCCAGACACTATCCCTCTGCCTTTAGTGTGTATTTCTTTTTGAAGGGGGTCTGATATGATGTGGTTACTTTCCACCAAAAGCACTGGGTGAAGACCGGAGGTCATTTAGCTACCACAAGGCAATTACTGTTATTGAGAAGTTGCCTTTTAAAATTGAAAGTGCAGATCAAGTAAAAACCCTGCCTGGAATTGGAAAGTCATTGCAGGATCATGTAAGTGAATATACTATGTTTGACTTTGAATTGCACCATTTGTTGTCTTGGACCCTTGTTTGATTGACTTAACTTTTTAATTTCAAAATTTGAATTAGGGCCTTTATATAAATTAGAACCCAACCCAATAGAATGCAATAGGAAGTCTGGATGTTCTTTTAGCTTATTTTTGGTAACTTAAATTTCACTCGTTAATTTAGTTGTGCAACTGGAATATTTGTGCAGATTCAGGAGATTGTGACTACAGGAAAGTTATCCAAGTTGGAGCACTTTGAAACAGATGAGAAGGTATTCTCAAGGTTCTTGAGCATAATGTACCATATGCTTCTTCCACATCTACTATAGATCTTATTCTTTTCTTCTTCTGGAACTAGAGAAGTAAATAATCTGCTACAATTCAATATATCTTACTTTCAACGGTTTTGACCTATTGTAGGTAAGGACAATTAGCTTATTTGGAGACGTTTGGGGTATTGGTCCAGCAACTGCCCTAAAATTATATGATAAGGGTCTTCGTACATTGGATGACTTGAAGAACGAGGAATCCTTAACAAATTCACAGAGGTTAGGAGTGAAATACTTCAATGATATTAAGCAAAGGATTCCACGCCATGAGGTCCAATTAGTCTTCCTTGGTTTTGGTGATTCCTACCTTTGCTATGAAGAAATTAACTTATATTCTAATTCTATAGGTTCAAGAAGTGGAATCTCTTCTAAAGAATGTTGGAGAAGAAATTTTGCCTGGGGTGAGTACTATGATACAAACTTCAAACTTGGAGTGGGATTGATTCTATTGAAGATCCATCTGTGCCTGCAATTATGCCCTGACTTGTATTTTACTTAAAGATGTGTTGTTATGAGTTGGACATATAATGTCTAATTCTCACAAAACAAGATGACTTTCTACCTTTTCTTCTCTTTTCTACTTCTAAGCAAGGAATGATTCAAGGAAGGAGTTTCCAGGAACTAAACTACAGATGCTTGAACATATCTAGGTTTTGGCCATTTTAAGTTAGGCCAACTGAAGTCCTTAGTTGTTAATTCATCTCTAAATTTGGCTCCCAGTAAAATGCCGTTACTGCTGTAGACGTTGATTCTTTTGTATGATTCTAATTTCTGAGTTAGTCCTTTCCATTTATGGTTAAATGGTAGCTGACTCAACCCAGAGTGGACCCTCTCCACAGTCTGTTGGTTATGGAATAAGGCTACTTTTGGTATGTGAAAAGTAATGTTTATGATTAACATTGTGATTTGATGCCTGCATACAATTTTAAAGAATTTTGGAAGTTGTTGATTTATTGCTTTGCTTCTAAAGATGCCAAGGCAGTAAGGATATGTTCTATAAGGGTATAACAGATGTTTTTATCAGTATTTGATGCTAACGCAATTTAGTCTCCACCTTCAGGTTCAGATTGTAATTGTACTTGCTGCCATGTAATGGTGTAGATCTAGTCTAGTAATTTTACAACCATACCTCAGCCAAAGGACCTTTATGATTGGCACACTGACATGAACAAGTCATACGTGGTTCCTACCTAATTTTTTGTGACATCTCTTGAAGGTGATCATTGTATGTGGGGGATCATACAGACGGGGAAAAGCTTCGTGTGGAGATATGGATATCATAATTACACATCCCGATGGAAAAAGGTATGAATTCTGCCTCCTTCATATATTAGGATGGCTTATGTAAAAAAGATGTGGATTTTAAATGTAATGCGGTCACCATCCTTGTTTCTTCTGTTAATGTCCTTCACGCTATTGCTACTTGCTGGGATAGAATCTGGGGTTAATTTCCTCTGTGTTTCCAGCCATAAAGGTTTTTTGTCAAAATACATCAAGCGTTTGAAGGACATGAAGTTCTTAAGAGAAGACTTGATCTTCAGTACTCACAGCGAAGAGGTATGCGATTGTTCTTCTTTCTGACTATTTCTTCTGCTTGTGGTAGGCTTTTTATTAACTTTTTTCTCCACCTTTGTCAAGCATTTTTTGTTCACCAGGCAGTTATTTTATAATTTACTTCTATATGTTATGTGAATAGGATACTGATTCAGGTGTTGATACATATTTTGGCTTTTGCACTCATCCTGGGCGAGAGTTAAGACACCGCATAGACTTGAAGGTAACTCAATGATTTATAAATTATCATCAGAATGGATTATTACGTAGGAGAGAGAGAGAGAGAGAGAAAAAAAAAAAGGGGTTAAAAGTGACTGATGAAGGAATATAGTAAGATCATTTTCTTCTCCTTGTTAAGCATACCCAAAATTCAATACTTTCCAACACTTCCAACTTAGCACTCCCTTATTAGTGTCTGCAGAACATTTTAACTTTGTCTAATGGTCACTCACACCACAGCCATCACTTTCCTGTGTAAATATGGAGCTACAGTTTGATTCATTTTTATAATATGCTATATGTGCTTCATAGGTATATCCCAGGGAGATATATGCATTTGGACTAATAGCTTGGACCGGGAATGATGTACTAAATAGGAGGTATGTTCATTAGTTATTGAAAGTATGCAATTTGTAGAAGAATTGTACACGTCTAACTTTCCAGCTCTGCCATATTCATTGTGTCGATGTTGCACGGTTGTATTACACATGATCATAGAAATAAGAAAGGAGGATTTTTTTTGTTTGACATGAAGGCATTAACATCGTATGCCTCTATTTGATTGCAGGTTGAGATTGCTTGCAGACTCCAAAGGATACCGACTGGATGATACAGGACTCTTTCCAGCAACTCATGGTTCAGGCGGCAAACGGGTAATTAGTTTGTATTGCTAAATATTTCCTGTGGCTAAAACTTCTTAAGGATCATTAACGTAAGTTTTGTGGACCTTCATTACAGGGTACAAGAGCTATAACAAGTTTGAAACTTTACACTGAAAAGGAGGTGTTTGATTTTCTGGGATTCCCTTGGCTTGAGCCTCATGAAAGGAATCTATAAGTAAATATTCAGCTTGAGCCTGCTGTACAGCTAAAACTAGCAAAGGGCATTTTGTATGAAGGGAAAGAAGCCTATCTTAATCTTCTGCTGGATAAAACTATGCCTTTTGACATAACTCTAACCCTCTAACTGGGCCATGCTTATAGTTATAACCATACAAATAAGTGTTAATATCACACAAAAATATTATGATTGTGTTTGATTTAATTGCTGAGAACAATTTAATAGCTTTAACTAGTGGTTGATAATAGATAAAATAATTGATATCTATTACTTAACAGTTTAAAATAACTAATCAAACAAACTAAACAATCATAATATCTATGTGTGCCGTCAACATTTATTTGGCACACCATAACGGTCGCCCAACTCTAGTATATGTATGTTTTGATCTCTTGTAACTATATATTCAATTGCCAGAGAACATTTCATAAAATATAAATTATTAGAGGCATATTGTACATGCTTGTTAATAAATCTTATATTATGATATTTGAATCTTTAAAATATTACCAAAATCTGACTACAATCTTAGGGTTTTTCCTTGTTTTTTATTGACTTCTCATCTGGATCCAAATATATGAAGCGTAGGAATATGATGCAGAGAATTTTTTTTTTTTTTGAATGGATTACATTTGAAGATGGGGAAGGGGATTCAAATTTCAACTTTAAGGTTGGAAGATGTACCTTATGAAAAGATATATAATTATCAAGTCACAAAACCTAAGTGCATGATGTGGAGATTGTTTAGGGTTTTTTTGGAACATGAGTTTTAGAAAGTGTATTTAAATATGAGATTTTGGCTAGATTTAATTAGGTTGTAATTGAATTTATATAAAATATATGTATTTGATTGCATGCATTTCACATTTCTAAATTATCATTTTTTCATTAAGTTTTTGGAATACTTCTCATGATTCGAACTTAAACCTCTATTTTGTTAGCATTAAGTTGTGTGGTCATTTGACAATGTAGTTTTGTAATTTTTTTTTTTTTTTTGCCATTTAACAATGCAGTGGTTAAATTAATATATATTATTGGTTTGTTCATAGTTTATTTAATTTAAATTTTTTTAAATATATATTTTTTAATTAATTAAATTATAATATTTTTCAATATTACAACACAATTTATTAAAAAAAAAATCCATGCTATCCCTAAAACCAAACAAAACCTCGACTTTTGCAAATTAAAATGAGAAATATAAAAATATCAAATTTAATTTATCATGAAAAAAAAACTTAAAAAAAAGGAGCGTTTTTCCAACATGAGTGGTGTGGGGTTTTAGAAAGGCGAAGTAGGAAAACTTTAAAACCCCCTTGAAGCAACATAGGATAAGGGGGACTTTTGGTTTTGGGGGTGGGGGGTGGGGAGAAGGCAGTCACAGACAGATGGCTTGTTGTAGCAAAGCTCTTCTTTCTTCTTCCTTTCGTCCCTTCGTTTCCTTTTTCTCGAACTCTTCTGCTTCCCTTCGAAACGATTCAGTTTCCTTTGCTTACGGTAGCTCCCATGGTGCTAAACTCAATCACTCCTCCACATACCCTTTAACAAACAAGAAGGAAACACAAATAACACCATTTTTGCCTTCTTTCTCATCCTCGAAGTCCATTTGCAGAGCTGCTGAGTACAAATTCCCGGACCCAATTCCCGAATTCGCTGATGCTGTAATTTCCCTTAATTGCTATTATATTTGTTTTTGTCTTATGAAAATTTTTGATTTTGTTGGTTGGGTTTTGTTTTCCTACTTGATTGTGGAATTCATGAGACGGGGAAGTTTAGGAACCATCTGCTAAAGAAACTCTCCAAGAAGGATATGTTTGGGGATTCACTGGAAGAAGTTGTAGGAATCTGCACTGAGGTACTTTGTTTTTCCAATTGTAGAAATTGTTTTGTTATCGCTATTTTCTGGGTGACTGCTTTAGAATTGTTTACATTTATGAATGGAATACTGGGACGGAAGAAATTGGACTAAAAATCTTTTTCAAAAACATTTGCAAATCAGGACAACTAATGGGATGGTCAGTGCTTTGCCATTCAACTCAGTGCTGGCTTGATAAAATTTCTGGCCTCATTTCTCTGCAAGATGGTACCTTCGTTGAAATGGATGAATATAGTGGGTTTAAATGATGATGACAAACTAGCTAAATCTTTGTCTGCGTTGCTTTCATCTTGACCTGAATTCTTTCTTTGATCTGATCTGTGGGATGCAACTCAAAGATTAGCCTTTTAGTAGTTCCCGGTGGAATACATCCATACCAACAAGAGATTAGCCAAGTTGTTATCCACTTCTCTGTGGTTACTCAAAAGAAACTGTAAAATGCATCTACCGAGTCGCTAATTCTAGACTTACACAATAATTTCAATTAAAGTTTTATATTGTAATTTACTTCTTTATGGTTGTAGACTATCTCCTCTGTTGATTCCACTGACATGCTGTCAATAATAAACCTCTAATTCCCCAGCTTGTTCTTGGGTTTAAGATGACTGAATAATGATTGTATTAAGTTTGTTGCTTCTGTTGCATGGATTTGTCAATTCTTCTAGGCACTAAACCATGTTACCCTGCATTTTTTCTAAGCAGATATTGAGTACTTTCTTACATACTGAATATGGTGGCCCTGGAACACTCCTGGTCATACTCATTGACATGGCTGATACCCTTAATGAGAAGGGATTGCCTGGCGGACCACAAGCCGCACGAGCAGCTGTCAAATGGGCTCAGGATCATGTCGATAAGGACTGGAAAGAATGGACTGGTTCCACCTAAAACAAAAGCTCCCTTATACTAGTTAGTTCAGGGCCTTCAGGCATTAAAAAGATTGAACCCTTGCAGTGCATCCCTGTGAAACTGACAGGCAATACTGTTTAGTGTGAAGATGATGAGTCAAAAATGAAGCTTGTGCAATTTTTGTTGAAGTTGTTGTGTACCTTACAAGAGAAGAAGAGCCCTTTTTTTTAAGAGTTCCTGGATTTGGAATTGTTATATTTCAATCTTTTTGGAATGGTCATTATAGCAGCATTATTCAGTCTATGAAACATTTTGAGTTATATACTCGCCACTTTTTGGTTCAGCTATTTGTTATGATCTGTAGGGACAATCCATGCTTGATTAATGGAAATAGGCCCACACAAGCACATGCCCCCTCACTCGAACTTCTTTAATGAGAAAGGATGCACCACTGCCATGTCAAAGAATTGAACCACGAGGTAAGGAATGAGAAGGGAGCATAGAATCCCACATCGCCCGTAGAGGACAACAGATGCCCCAAGAGGCACCCTAAAAGGTCATTCCTGGCCCTCTCACAAATTACGCAGCCACGCAGTGAGCACAAAATTAACCACTCTGTAGCCTTTTACTAAAGAGCGGAGTGCTAGGGGTACTCGCTTCTTGCACTCTCCGGCCAACACTTCCCTTTTTATGGGGCCACGTAAGCTTCTCTAAAGCTTTCAGGCGCAACCTCTTGGAAACCAAAATACCGTGTGCTCGCTGCATAAAGTGGCATACGCCAATTTTTGGAGGGCGCTCCCTAGTGGATGAGCCCAACAATTCCGGTTTAAAATCTTCTAATTGCACTGGAATGGTCAAGTTTGCTGTGTGTATTGGAGACTTTCAGAGGGTGAAAACTCCTGCTTAGATGCATGTTTACTGATGTTTTGTGCAGTGTAATGGAAGGTGTCATCCATTGGTTGGTTGGCCTTTACAGTATTCAAAAGTCTATTAAGAAATAAGGCAATCAGACATCTGCGGTATGGTATGGTAAAGTTCGTGATTGTTTTATTTCATGCTACATTAGAAACCTGAACCATCTATTATCTCTCCCCTATCAATGAAACGTTCCAGGAGCTCTTTCTCTTGCAAAACCAAGCAATCTTCAGCCTCGCCAAGCCAGCCATAATGTCGCTTAGCCACATAATTGTTAAAAAATCAAGGATTCCGAAAAGAAAAAGATGGAATGAAAAACTGAATCTCACATTAACTAAAAAATAATGCAGCCTTTAAATAGGCTTTACAAGATAATATTATCTAAAAAGATAACTAATAAATTTTATCTAATTTAATTTAAATGATAACAACCTAAAACAAATAAATAACTTAAACTTCCTAAAATATAGAGATAATGGCTAAATAATAAGATCTAATTTCCAACAATCCCTCCCTTAAACTGAAAGTTTTCAGACTTTAGTTTAAAGAAATCTGGATAACACCATATCTACAGATTTGGAATCTGCAGACCCTCCCTCAAACTGAATTCTGCATGTTGCAAACACCAAGTAACTCTCTCAGTTTTGAAAAAGCTGCTACTTTGAGGGCTTTTGTGAATATATCAGCCACTTGATCTTCTGTTCTGCAATAAATCAACTCAATTGTTCCATCTTCTACCAAGTTGCGCAAGAAATGATACCTCACATGTATATGCTTGCTTCTCCCATGCAAAACTGGATTTTTAGAAAGTTTGATGGCTGAACTATTATCACAATAACTTGAAGTGGCCTCGTGTTGATTCAGCTCAAGTTCTTCCATAATTCTTCTCAACCAAATAGCTTGAGAAGCACAAGAAGTTGCTGCCACATACTCCGCTTCTGTTGTGGACAAAGTCACAGTGGGCTGCTTCTTTGAAGACCATGAAATTGCACCAGATCCCAGCATAAAAACAAACCCAGAAGTGCTTTTTCTGTCATCCAAATCTCCAGCATAATCACTGTCTGTAAAGCCTGCGAGATCTGTCTGGTCACCCTTCTTGTAAAATAGCCCAAAATCTGCAGTTCCACATAAATACCTGAGAATTCTTTTAGCAGTTTGCAAGTGCAACTCCTTTGGATGCTTCATATATCTGCTAATCAAACTTACGCCATGCATTGTATATGGTCTTGTTGTTGTCAAATACATCAGACTTCCAACAATTTGCTTATACAGTTTGCTGTCCACAGATTTGCCTCCTGGATCTTTCACGAGCTTTACACCTTTGTCAATTGGTGTAGTGACAGAATTGCAGTTCTTCATTTGAAATCTGTCCAGAACTTCCTGCACATATTTTTTCTAACAAACAAAAATTCCAGAATCTGACTGTACTACTTCCAGACCAAGAAAATAATGCAACCCAGATTTGTCATTTCAAATTCAAGCTTCATGGACTGCTTGAACTTTTCCAACATGCCAAAATCATTCCTAGTATAAATTAAATCATCAACATATAAGCATATTATAATCAATTTACCTCCATCTCCAAATTTGATGTAAAGTGTATGCTCATAAGGGCACTTTTGAAAACCTTCCTTCAAAAAATAAGCATCAATTTGACTATACCAAGCTCTAGGTGCTTGTGTTAGTCCATATAATGCTTTCTTCAATCTGTAAACCTTATGCTCAGAACCAGATTTCACATAACCAAGAGGTTGATCAATAAATACCTGTTCTTGTAGATTTCCATGCAAGAAGGCAGATTTCACATCAAGCTGGTAGATCGGCCATGAGTTTTGTGCTGTCAATGCAATCACCAATCTGATGGTATCCATCCTTGCAACCGGAGCAAAAACTTCTTGATAATCAATGCCAAACTCTTGCTTGTAACCCTTTGCCACCAAGCGAGCTTTGAATTTGTCAACCGCCTCATTCTCTTTGAGCTTTGTCTTGTAGATCCACTTGACACCAATTGTTTTGTGCCCTTCTGGAAGATCTGTCAACTCCCAAGTCTGGTTCCTTTCAATGGAACCAATTTCTTCTACCATGGCTTTTTGCCACTTTTCTTCTTTAACAGCTTCTTCATATGTCAATGGATCATAATCTACATAAAGCAAAATGATTAACTGGAACATCATCTTGAGGTAGATCTGTTACCTCATAATCTTCCAACCATGCTGGTCTTCTCTTTTTGCATTGAGGTCTAGAACTAGTTCCAGATTCCAGTTCTGGTGTTGTTGGCAGACTTCATCCAATATTGAACTCTACTTCTGTAGGCAGAATTTCTTTAGCTATCTGTCTTGAAACCTCAAAATCTGCTGAAGTTTGACCTTCTAAGTTCTGCAAAGTCAGATCTTCTCCATTTTCGAAATTTGCAGGAATCTGTTGCCCAGATTTTTCTATCTAAGACCAAGTGCTTGCTTCATCAAACACTACATCACGGCTAATGATGACCCTCGTGGTTAAAGGATTGTATAATTTGTAAGCTTTGGACTGATCACTAACACCGAGGAAAATACACTTTTCCCCTTTGTCATCAAGCTTACTCCTTTTCTGATCTGGCACATGTGCATATGCTATGCACCAAAAAATTATGAAGTAATCAACAACAGGTCTACGTCCACTCCAAGCCTCTTCTGGCGTCAAATCTGGAAGTGGACATGTGGGACTTCTGTTCAAGATATGAACACTCCATTTAACAGCTTCTGAACAAAACTCCTTAGGCAAGTCGCTCTTTGACATCAAACTTCGCATCATATTCATGATTGTGTGATTCTTCCTCTCACATACACCATTTTGTTGAGGTGTATAGGCTACTGTGAGTTGCCTTTTAATGCCATTATATTCACAAAAATCTGCAAATTCCTTTGAATTAAACTCACCACCACGATCTGTGCGTAGAACCTTTACAGATATGCCAACCTCATTCTCAGCCAAGACTTTGAAATTTTTAAAGGCTACTAAGGCTTCTGACTTGGTCTGCAAAAAATACACCCATGTCTTGCGACTGTAATCATCAATAAAGGTAATAAAGTATTGTTTACCTCCATTGGATGTTGGATTTATGGGTCCACACAGATCAGAATGAACCAGATCTAGCACCTGCTTTGCTCTCCAAGATCTGTCTTTAGGAAAGCTGTCACAGTGCTGCTTACTGACCACGCAGATTTCACAAATTTCTGAAGGAGAATCAAAATGAGGAAGACCATTTACCATCTTCTTCTGCTGCAAGGCCTTCAACCCACCAAAATAAAGATGTCCAAATCGGCAATGCCATAACCAAGCTATGTCCTTTAATCTGGCAGATAAACATGACAGATTTGTGGTCTGCAAGTATAATGGAAACAACCTATTTCCCGTCATCTTGACCTTTGCAATCAGGCCAAGCTTTGAACCACGAATTTGGCAAATTCCATCTTTAATAAGGATTTCATATCATTTTTCTTGAAGCTGTCCCAGACTAAGCAGATTCGACTTCAAATCTGGTACATATAGAACATTAGAAATAGTCTGAATTGAATTGTCTTTGGCACAAATGGTTACCTTTCCCTTTCCCTTGACTGCAATAGTGGAATTATCACCAAATTTCACCTTGTCTTGACAAGACTCATCCAAATCTGAAAACGCAGATTTGTCTCCACAAATGTGATTGCTGCAACCAGTATCCAGATACCACACATTCTTCTTGTTGACTTCTTTAGGATGACAGACCATGAATAGAGAGTAATCGTCATTCTTCTCATTGTGTTCTGCAAAATTGGAACTTTCTCCTCTATTCAGATTAGCACGGCACTCAGAACGATAATGGCCATACTTATGACATCTGAAGCATTCAATATTTGCCTTTCCTGCAGATTTGGATCTGTTATCTGCAACTTGATAATTTCTATTCTGCCACCTCTTCTGAATTCCAATGGCTGAACTTTCCTCCAATCTATCAGATTTTGGTTTGCCAGATCTTGGTTTGCCTTTCCAGATTTCTTTTCCTCGACTTACAGCCCTTGAATTAACTGTGGTCTGCAAGGCTTGTGTCTGCGAAATCTACACTGCTTGCTCTTGCTTGTCTTGGCGATTTATCTTCCGCTCATGAATTAA